CGCTTCTCCTTGACGTCCTCGAGTGCGAAGAGAGTGGCGTCTGAAAATTGTTCATTGACACGCGAAAATTTATAATATTTGGCGACGCGCTACTTACTTCCTTTTAACTGTGAAGAATCACGAAAAATTACGAAATTTACGTACAGCCACGTCTGGGATTTGCGGAAAGTGACGAGAGCGATTTTCAAATTCATCCCACGATATCAACTTTCATACACCGTTGAATGCCCGGTATCGGTTCGGATATTTCACCCGGTTGCACTATCCGAAACGTCAAACGCCAACGTTTTCGATTCCACGTGTTTTATATTTTTATTTTTTATCCCCCCTGATTTTTCCTCCATCCTTGTCCAACGGCTATACTCGTTTTATTTTTGCAATATTGATGCAATGATAAAATTTCGCATTTGCCAAAAAAAGAGCGTCGCGACGGTCGTATGTATATGGGTATATATATGTATACACATATAACGTAAACTAATTGTCCGTCAGGAAGTATCACAGGAAGGATTAATTAAAAAAGAAAAAAAAATTGATAAGAGCATGGAACGAGTCGATGCGATTGATCTGTTAAGCATCCGAGAAACGTTTCTCACGTGTGCGAATCATCCATGCGAATGAGAATTGCGCATTGCATATCGATCGTTGCAGCGCGGTTAGACGTTTGCTCGTTGAAGAGAAACCAACTCCGTTTACGCACTACGGAGTAATTCCTATAGCGATTCCCATCGATTGCGCAAAAACGCGTGAGCACTGTCGGTCCGTTAAGACTTTCACGTGTTGTTTCACTTACCTTTCATCGAGGGCCCATATTAAAGTGAAAATCCTTGCAAGGCTGAATGGCGTTTTGTATTACGTCACGCAGGGGTGATTCTCGACGAGACGATATATTAATACAATCAAAGGTAGCGGGACACAAAGTAACACTAAGAACGTATGGTATCACTCACATGAGATCACTTGAAGATTCACCCAGCAGCAGCTCGTCTTAATTCGATCGTAGATCCTCGTGAAAAACTATTTGAAATATTAGCACTTTCCATCAATCGATTAAATAAATTTCATATTTTTCTATACTCTCGTTACTTCACTTCACCGCTCTCTACCCTTTCACCCGACGACTCTTTCACCTGAGTACGATCTGGCGATTAAACAATATCGGATGCATATCCAAAGCACCCGCTCGCACGTTCGTTTATGGTTTATTCGCACGGCACTGATCACTGTCACTCGGATAAGCCTTTCCCGTTACGCATCGCGTGGAAACCGAAATCAGCCGACAGCCTTTAACCACTTACGACAAACGCCCACGTACTTCCTATCTATCCCTTCTATTCCATAGTGCCTCCATTTTACGAGGTTCGCACAGTTCACGAGGTACGATGGTACTCGAAGAAAGAAACGGAGAAGAAAAATGCGGCCAGTATCTCTCGTCGACCAGTAAAGTATTATCTGATAGCCAATAGGAATGTCCAGGATCCTTGGGTCTCGCGTTATCTTGCTTCCTGCCGATTGGTATAAGTCGTACCACGTTACTGTCCACTAGACTACAAATCGACCAATACGAATCATCGAGTGCAATTGTGTTAAATCATTGAACCCAAGTGCTAAGGACGCACTGTGTATATCGGCCTTACGATTGAGAAGTCGGCAAAAACTTGAAGAGACTTGAGCGGTACGAAATTCCGAATATAAGAAGAGATAAAATCCAATCGATGGCGTAGAGATCTCGTCGATAATCAAATTCCTCGATCGTTCGATCTTCCAGTGATACAATATCGATTCACAAGACACTTCATTCCAGCTCCATATGATAAATCGATAATCGATCGGATCGACCACGCACTTGCTAGTTCACGTTGGACCGTTGAAAAGTGGGATGCTGGGCCGTGATCCGGCCTGGAAACGCTCGCTGGTTGAACTGTCGTTCGGAGCAGCTCGAGCCGCGGTTTAGTATCACAAGGTTCGTTCTTGGCCGGCGTCGCGCGCCCCTCCCGGGACGCCGCTCGACGCCGCTCGACGCCAATCGAGTGCGCGTACCTATGTGCCTACGTTATGTACCTGCGTGCCTTTCTGCGTTACTTTCCGAGTCTCTCACTGCGTGGGACCTTGATTTACCTTCGCGAACCTCCCAAGCGGATTGACTTTGTGTATCCCGCCGCTTCGGGACGGAATATTAAAGAAGGCTGCACAGCCAGAGGGAGATGTACCTGAAATATCAAGGTTATTAGGACTTTCAAACATATACTACAAGTATTGAGAGATTGAAATAAGGACGGTACCTGTTTTTTTCAAACCTGATCCTGTGAACTCGGATTGACCTCTTGATTCAAGCTCTTGTTAACTCTCTCTCTCTCTCTCTCTCTCTCTCGCTCCCTTAAAACTCTGGCGAATGATGCAGCTCGCATTCGTATTCCCCTGGGGATGGTCTAGGTGGGATCAGAACGAGGGTGACTCTGACGCGGATTTTATTTAACCGTCCCTCTTGACTCCCGGTGTCTTGCCATTTTGGGGTATTGTCACGATCCAGCTACGCTTTAGGGGCGCATTAGAGACGTTTCATAATTGAATAACCGACTCGTGCACGCACAACGCACTTGCTCCGGAAGTTTCGTCGCTCCGGAGGGTTGAACAATACAGGAAGATTTAACCCCGTACGGGATGCACGCACCCACCTTCAGTTTTCTTCTCTTCTCCTGCCAACCCTTTGCCCTTCGCTTCACCACCCTTCGCATCCAATCTCTCCTCTCTCTATACCGTTCGCCTTTGACAATCGTCTTTCACCCTTGATTCTATAGCGATATCAATGTAATTGTACTCACGTGGGGATATAGAGGAGCCGCGGCGACGACGCTTAAGATAAAAGGGAACCCGTGAGTCGAGTGGTGGGACAGAACCGAGATTATCCTTACCCTACTCACCCCTCTCTCTCTCTCTCTCTCTCTCTCTCTTCTATACTCCACGAACCAAATGCTTCCATAATTCTCGGTCTACCTTTCCACTGTAATCTTCATCCGCTCTGCCTTTGTCATGGAGAGTCATGTATTTTTATGTATTCCGTTGCTGTACAATGTACGCACTGCATTGCAGATATATGTATATACATATATACACAGAGACACGAGTTGAAAAGTTCTTGGAAGAATTTTCGTGTAATCGGATAAACTCGATATCGAAAATATTAGAGAAAGGTTTATCTGAAAAAGAAAAAGTAATATTAAATCAATGCAAGATAGACAACGTTCTGATAGAATAAAAACATAGAAGCAGAAGAAAAAAAAAAAAAAGCTTAAATAAAGTATCCTCCGAGAAAACATTTTCATTTCTTTGAAAAATATAATTAATATCCATGCGTCAATCTTATATCGTGTAATAAAACTCCCCGACTCTCGCATACTTAATTTAATCAGTGATACGTGCAACCCCTCTAATAAGAACACCCCATCGTACCAGACTATCTATAGGATTAATAATAGAAAATTCTCAGATCGCTAATCGCTCTATTCTCATAAACCATCCCAACCCTCTGACAAGCATATAAAACACTGGATAAATTACCATGTAAACCGTTTAAAACTTTTCCCAGCCACTTAAGCTTGCCAATAATATCGCGCTCTCTATTTTGATGTTCAATCGCCCTAAACTCTGAATCACATAATATAATCCTTTCATAGTTACACGTATGTCAATAAAGCATATAGACAGCTGACCAAGAGCTTGTATCAAGGGACGTATAGTACAGATAAGGGATGGTCTATCTGGATACACATATATACGTATACTATAAAGGGTAACTATGTATATAACAACCTTGCAGTAACCTAAAGGCCAATACACAAACGTGCACTCGTACAGAGGTACACACCCTCGTCAGCCAGTTTAAATTGTACATGAATAAATTCAATCCTATCACGGGCATGCTAATTCCGTACAACACGGTCCTAGGCTCCACCAAGCTATCCCATGGCGAGCCCATCTACATAACACGCAGTCGCTTACGCTTTGTGTAAACGCGAGTGTGAAACATACCTGTGCTTCATTTCGTCCGACTACTTTTACTTCAACTGGATCGAATAGCACTGTAACCATTCGTACGATACGTCATATCGTATACAACTCATAGATAACAGATTTCTGTGTAAAACGGATAAGCTGAGTTTACGTCATCTTGTAATAACGATAATAATAAATTATATTAAAATTGATTTAGATAAAAATCATACCTTGCACGAATCACTGCTTTTTATTGTTGTTGTTTTTTTACACTGTTACAATTTATGTTTCACTGGAATACCGTATCTTCTGATATATTCTCAGTATGTAGAATCTCGTATTGAGAAGTCAGGATACAACAGTGATTGATAATACTAGAGTCGTGTTTATCGTCACGTTACTGTTCTGTAATCATTTGGTTCTATCGTTCGGTAACATCTGTATCTCTCAATCCTACTTGGAAAGCGACACATCTTTACCCTTAGGAGGTTAGAATAGAGGCTGATCGTTCCTACGTGAGAATCGTGTTATGGTTAGAATCATGAGACGAGAAAACATTTAAAATGAAGGTTATGTACGATAGTTTATGTACTGTGGCAGATAGATATATATGTATTAGGTACTGAATTCTTGGCATATAGCGTCTCTCTGTTCTTACATAGAGCGTAGCGGTGTCGTAACAACGAAAGCACGTAATTCTATTGTCTACCGTGGAAAAGGAGACGTTGGTATCGCTATCACGGTGATTAAACTTCAGCACGTCTCGCCAAGAGTTGGGGGGTTGAACGTGGCAGAAAGCCGATGCCGATGCCGAGAGTGCCAGTCCATCGATTACAGTACATAGATGCATTTGGCCATCGTTTCTCTTGGGATGCACTTTTTTCACTTGGTATTAAATATATAAAACGTAAGAGACATAACTTTGTAAACTGTTTTCACCGGATTTTTATGGGAATTCACGATTTTAGAAGTTATAAGCATCGTATACATCGATAGCCTCGCGATCCGTACAGGCCTGCTGATCTGCGTCGCGGCCATGACAGTTACTACAGACGTCAGCAGTCACTAGTCAAGTAAGCTATGATTAATTTATTATTAGCGAATTTCAAACTTTGTTAGAACCTAGTTTGCATGAGTTAATTATAAGAAAATTCATGGAATAAATAATTTTGTATAATTAATGGTTTCAACTGTGTTAGTGTCTAACTTGTTACGTAAGACCAACGTTCAGTCGGTTAGTGACTGCGTACGTTACTTTTAAATGGACGTAAATGGCGCGAGGCAAATTCTCACCCGGCATTCGTACATTGAATGAGGAACGGCGGGGTTTGGGATCGCGTGCTAGGAGCTGCTTGTGTACCAGGCATAAATGATAAAAACGGACAGGAGAAGCGACCGGTTCGCGGCTAAACCTCAATAAGTGTAAAGATTGCATGCAGATGCCAGCCAATTATAAGGAGTTGCTCGGTCGGTTGAAATATTATCAATTTTCAAAGCACGATCTTCGCTCGCATTGGGATTGCCAAATACCTTAGATAAGGATAGAAAGGTAAGTTCTACTTGCATCCGTTATTCATAATAAAAGTATCAAAGGAAGTTTGCTTCTGACACTGTATATACTCGTACGTGATATGTCAACGGAACTATTTCTTAAACACACGATACTGTTCAGAACTGTTCGGAACATTACGATCCCAGAAAAAATTGTTATATAAAAAAAAATTTTCGGATTTGTCAAATCAGTATTACCAACTAACCCTACGAACTTTGCTTGTTCAGTATTTTTCTTTGATTTCTTCTTTCCCTCTGGTATACATATAACACCAAAAGATTATATCGTCAAGTGTTTCCGAAGTTAAGCAACGAATTGGAAAGTATGAATTTCATCTTGGATATTTGAGACAAGACTTAAAATGTTCTCTCATTGCTCTTTTGGTGTCTTCTCCCGTCCGATAATTCTCTCTCGACTCACGTTCATAGGATGCCGGTGATTGAACACTGTCATTCGAGTAAACGCGCATGCCTTACAGGTTTCTATAGTTACTAGTAATTATGCTATCTCTCAATGGCTTGTATCGTCTTACTCTCACTTTGTCTTCCCTTGCAACATACAGAGAAAATTCTTACGGCTTACGTATAAACGTGGACAAAGGTGTTTCAAGATATCTTCAACGATAATCCTATGGATATTACGATAATAACGTTTAATTGATACGTTTCCCAGAAGGCCACACGATAAGTGCATCCAATTAGTAAACTAAGAAGATCCTAACAACGTAGTAAGTAAATAGTGATATTTTTATTAGCCACAAGAACAGCAGAGACGCCGTGCAATTGATTAGGGACAAAATAAAATGACAAATTACACGAGACCGCTTGGTTCGTCAATTATTTCAAAGCGGCGAGGGCTGATTTTATGAAAATGGAAATTAGATATGGTCTCACGATTTAGAAACGGGCTGAGTCAATGGCGGAGAGTTCGGTGCGCCGCTGCCACAGGAATGAATACAAGCGTCGTATATGGGAAACGAAATCGAATTTTCCTTCGTTTGTAAACTTCGTTTTCCCTTAGTGTACAAGGATAAAAGGTTCTCCCCTGTTCGCCGTCGTCTCCGCGGTGTCTTATAAAATCTCACTGCTATTCCCGAACACCAATTTTATTTTAAGCTTATCGTTCCTTGGTTACAGGTGAAAAATCTTTAACAATGGAATATCACAATATTCCCAGCATATAATCTCAAACCAAGCCGCTACCGAATGCAGTGAACGGAAAGCCAATGGACCAGACGAAATTTCAATATTCTTCAATCCCGGTGTGTACAATCCAATCAATTACGTCATTTTCACGTCGCTATGCTTTGACGTAGCAGAAAAATATATTAAAATAGAAACTTTCATAGATACCAGAAGCCGTTACGACACACAAGACTATTTTAAGGAGAGATCTTCGCGTTGAGAACAGTGGACGAAGGATCAGTGACTCAGCAAAATGGCGTAGACTCCACACTCCTTCCTACCCTCTTCTGTCCTTTTACATTCTTTTCTTTTTTCTATATACTGTCAAAATCAACTCGCCGACATCATCCCGGTCTCCCGTCCGTGATCCCTGAGGATATCGTGACAAGGGTGCAGGGGGACGTCGGGGTGCTCAGACAAGGTGGATAGGGGGAGTCGGGGAAGGAGGAAGAAGGATGAGAATGACGGGCATTATAACTACGTTATAAACGCGAGTATAAAAATCAAATTTGCGGCGTCTCTATACGCCGCCCGGATAAGATATTATTCCACCCTATTGGAAGCAGCGTTCTCCAGTCGCTTCCATCCCCCCGTAGCTCAACCCCTTAAAATAATCTATTTGCTCGGATATTGCTTTCGTCGGGAAGATTTTTTAAGCCTTCCTCAATGCTATGTCCCTACGTTTCATTCGATATAACGGGTGATCCGTACTAGCTCGTAAAAGTCATCGTTAGCGACAGCCAAGGTAGGAGTAGGTGTTTTATTGACGTATCTTCGCCACGTGAGAGAATCTCGTTCAGGACTTCGCGCCTTGTCTGGCAGATTAATAGGAAGTTGGATGGAATCGGCTGGCGAATTTGTAAACGGGATATTTTCAAGTTGGTACTTTTGTATGTTGTTCAATTTTTATTAATTAAAGTTGGCATGCTGTTACGTATAGCTGGGTATGGTTAGGGGTTTGAGTGTATATGATATGTATATAAGTAAGGGAAGCTATGTGCTCATATACTGAACCTTCAATCCTCAGGAAAATCCAGTTGGGAATTGCAGTTTTTAGGACTGACGGAGTTGCAGAAATAATGGAACTACGTCACGAAGGAATGTAAACGTAACGTGCAACATACTTGGAACAGTTATGCACAGCTTACGCGGACCGATCCATCATGCAAGAACATGGCGGACTATTTGTCATGCGAGTCCCGTCCCGCACTTTTTCCAATGGGCCACTTCGCTCTATCTGCAGCCTGGACGTTCCCGATTAACCATTCTACGTCGACTATTTTGTTCATGCCCGCATATAATATCATCGATTTGCATATATCTAGGTATACTTCTGCGTCACTCTGTACCGAATGGATAATTCGAGGGCTTCGGAGTCCAAGGGGCTCAATGAAATTCATCATTATTTTATTCACTTGATTGTACCTATACTTCATTCGGAATAGCTTTTTGGACGTGTATTATTGATGTATCATTATAGATAATTTTCATGCTTTATTTTCGTCCTGTGATATCAGCTATGTATATGTGTGTTTGTGGGTCATGTGTGTCATATATCAGTGTGATGCGGAATAGATGCAATTAAATGAATTTAAACAATATGATGCAGCCGCTTATGCAAATGCAGTTACTCGACCCTGTTGAGGTACGACACTGCGCAATTGTATATTTTGATATTTATATGTGATATACGTCAGGATTTATCGGGTGTTTTGAAAATGAGTTTGATAACAAGATATTCGTTTCATTATATCAATTTTTAGATATACTGTTTTAGTAGTGACTTGTAGAGTATGAAGACATGAGACAAAATTATTTAGTATGCAGTGGATCTGCAATTGATCAATCAGAAGTATAAATAGCATAGCTAATGAAACTGTATGATATAGTCTGGGTATACTTTGGAAATGTGTTACTAAAATGTAGCATAGGTAAAGGTTCGTTCTACGCTATTGCATTGTTGGAAGGTGCGCAAATGACGTAAGACATATCCTCCAGTATCGTGTTTGTATTGCCAGATAAAAGACGGACGAGGCAGACAAGGGAGCTATAGCTGTGCCAAGGAAGACTTTGGACTGGTACAGGGTGCGTCAACGATGCTCCGAAGTAAGAAAAGTTTGTAAACACAGACCGGCCTGCACTTAGGAGTGAATAGATTTGAGGGCATCGTTGACGAACCCTGCACAAATTGTAATTGACAAATTGGTCGCGGGAGGTCAGCGCTTGTTTATCGGTACTCGGGCGGGAGGGGGTAGTCACTGGGACGCGGCAGAATTTATTAGCCTGGCCTTTAGTCTTCCGAGAGCCGATCTCCTATTTCGGGATCTTTGACGCCGCGAACTTCCGTTCTTCCTTTCTTCCCCTGTCTTCTTCTCATTAAGGCTTTTCTTCATCTTCCTCTCGTCTGTCTGCTGAGGTATATTCACTTGATTATTTACTTTTCTCTCTCTCTTGCTCTGGGCCGACTTCTCTGCCTCTGTCTTTCTTTCTTTGTGTTACCTGTCTTCCACGTTTTTTCCGCTGGGCTATACCTCATTCGCGATATCACTTTGTTATCACAGTCAGCTCTATTAAGTCAGCAACATAACTCTCTTGTTTGTCAAAGTCTGAACTCTCGTGTCTCATTGCCCTATATCATCTTTTTCTCGAGGTTCTCTCCCTCGGACCTTCAGCCTATTTCACTCCGTTTCCCCCTGTACCCCTTACCGCCACTTCCGAAACCGCGTAACACCGCGAGTCCATTTAAACAACCGCACCGCAGTCATTCGGTGTCGCGCGCGAAAATCCGCGAATTTAGCCACAGACGTAACAAGTGAACAATTAGCCCGCATCCGAAATACGCTTAGTGCAAAGACAAGTGCCAAGATCCGAATCCTCGAGTCGTCGCCTGAATGGACCACGAGTACCGAAGAGGATGGAGACTGGTTCTACGGATGGACTGCAGGCAAAACCATTGAGAAGACGGAGAGTCCCGTGGTGAGTGATCTTTTCTGCTCTCTTTCTTGCGTCTAGATCTTAAGTTATATTTTTGCTATAATCAGCGCATACCAGAAGGTAATTCGGTAATGCATTTTGAAAGTTTACCCTTAATAACAAATAGTCTCATTGACTTCTACCATAATACTTCCGAGTAATCAACTGCAGATTCGCTGCATGCTAAATAATTTCAACTCAGACAATTCCCAGCATTGGGTACCTCTTACATTGAAATGCATTTCGCTGTGATGCAGTATCCCCACCAAGGACTATAGTCGCCCGTGAACTTTGCTACACGTACAATGAAATCCGATCGAGCCACGTCAAGAGTATCGAACGTCCCGTAGAAGACGTAACCGAGCAAGACATCCTCATAAGCCCACGTATAAAACAGCAGCACTGTTACTCTGTATATATAAAAAATCCTGTATATTCGACTTGGATAAAATTTCGAAAGAAACCCCCAAAAAATGTAATGACGACAAAAATTCTTTTTTTAAATTTCAAAAGAAAACTCGAATCACGCGAGAGAAAAAAAAGGTTCCCTTTTTTTTACCTCCGTCCTTCGGCACTCCGTCGTCTTTTAACGAAACAATAGGGCTTGGAGCGTGTTTGATAATTTTATTTCTTTCCGTTGCAACAACCGTCGGAATACAATAAACAACGAGAAGCATATTAATTATACCGGTTGGACATTGGGCAAATAAAAGTTGACTCATGGAAGAGACACGGAGCAGCAGGGTGAGCAGCGATTGCTCCTCATTTTCTTGAATGGGTCATTCATTAAGTATTGTCTTAAAAATTCTCTGATAATCGATCACTGTTCGATATGTTTTTTTTGTCTACCTACACAGGCACTCGGCAAACAGGGATCGTCATTTTTCTTTTTTATCAACGAGCAATATGCCGTTGAACTTGTTCGACTGGTTCGATCGATATCGGAATTTACAGTTCGAACGCTGACGTGCCGAATCGTATGACGTCTCTTTCACAACAATGCTCTGCATACTGGTACCGCCGTTTAGTCAATCTGCAATAATCGGAGCAAGAGTACTCAAGGTCACGGCCAATTGACGATATTCCGAACTTTCATTAAACAATCAATTTTGCAATTCAGTCGACAAGCGACATTGTTATACAAGAATTGGATGACCTATGACCCCGGGGGTCCCCGACACGAGAGCAAGCGTCAATGCCCGGTGTTCGTAAGAGGAAGCTGTGTATTCCCTAGGGAGCAGGAAGTTTCAGTGGTTGGTAAACAAGGACAGAGTATAGAGGTAAAAGTAGGGGAGGGAGGCTGAGGAACGGTGAGGATCTTGACCGAGATGAACCGGAAGTAGGGACGAAGTTGAAAGTCTGAGATTATCATCCAATGGTCTCGGTTACGTCTGAAAAATGGCAGGTAAAAATTGATTGCGCTTGTCTGGTCTTCGCCGTCCAGGATTACACGTAGGACTTCCGGTTTTCTTACGTCCGACCGTACCCGACCCTTCCGTCCCTCGGCCGAGTAATTCGTTAACCCTTCATTTTTGCGGTCTTAGATTTTTAATAAGGTCGAATCCTTCGGGAATTGCTTCGATGGAAAGTCGGAGATAAAATCGCTCAACAAATCTCACCTACCAATAACAGCCTGCGGTCGGCCACTGTCAATGTTTATGGGGTTTTGCGGTCGGTGGAAATAATTTAAAAAAGGCGTCGGAGTGAATTCCCATGGTATGGTTTATTGCGACGTTATAATAACCGCACGGTACCCGCCCTGCCCCCCCTCCCCGCGTCACTAAATTACGACGTAATCGTAACTTATTTGCAAACGCACGTTTCTTTGTTGGTTCGACGGCTGGAGAAACGGATGATGCATTTTATTTTGGTTTTGAAAGATAATCTAAATATTCATTGGGGATATTTTATTTTACAAGCTTTTTATACGCGGTGTATATACTATAGGGCATTTATGTATATTCCGTATAGCATAGCATACTATAGTGTACCGCAGTATAGTATATATATTGCACGGTATAGCAGACCTTGCCGATTAAACACATTTTCGTTTTGGACCGCATTAAAGCACGAGGCGTTCCGACTCTACATTATGCAATACGACGAAATAACCACTCGCCGAGTGTATACCGTGTGTGCGCTTTTTAATAACCTGCGGAAACAAGCCATTCAACGTTCCCGTGCAAATACGTCGGTACGCATGAGGGATGTTCATTATTTTTAAATAAATTATTTGCTAATTGTCTGTTAACCCCTGCCACTCGTCTCCCGTACGTGGAAACTACTGTGCACGTCGCACGTGATATCGATCGGAACCGTACAGTGTCTACCACTGGGCAGGCCAATCGGAAAACGAGATTAATGGCTAATTTTGCGATTGAGCTTCTTAGCCTGAAGATTCGAAGACGATACGGAAATTTGTGTCAGGCTGTATCAGTGCCGGAGTGTCGTTTTTATAAGGGAAGTCGAATTGGAGTGACGTAGGACAGAGGAAATTTAGGTATCGAACGAGCAGTGGGAAATTTTTCAATGATAACAGAATCGAGTGTATCAATTTTTGGAAAAAAAATTTTTTCAACAAAATATTTTTTTTTTTTTTTCCATCAAGCAACGTGGATCTTTATCGATCGAAGTGACTGTACTTTGTTATTTACATGCTCTCCGTTTACGAGCCTATTCGGCGATGCTGTTCGTTTCATAGACGCGTTTCTCGATTTTAATTCAGCCGGCAACGGTCGAATCGTCATTTCACCTGAATTCTATGTATTCAATTCGAATTTGCACGTATCGCGATATTCGATATCGAAATTATCGATTTTTCAACGCGACTGTACGGCCTCCTCTCGTTTCACTTTGTTTCGTGCATGACTTTTCATACGGATCCGTATCAATTCGTTCGCTGCCAGCCACGTGGTCTTGTTTGCGAGTGCATCGAATGCGCGGCCATGTTTACCGATAATTTCTTTTTTTTGTTTTTTTTTTCAAAATTTTAGCGGCGCGATAAATTTATATTGAATTCCGATCGTCATCGCTTACTCCCTTCGTCGTGAACTCGTGCGGACCTTATTGCGTCATGGATACCGTTGGTTTGCTTTTCAACTAAAAAAAAAGTAATATATATATATTCTGCAATTTACCTTGGCCTTCCGCAATTTCTTCATTTTACATCTTCATTCCATTATTGCTCTGTTTTTATGCCAGCTGCTTCTTCTTCAATGACGTCCAATCGATTCTACTTCCGGTCCATGATATCAGAACGAATGATAATAATAATAATAATGGCTCGACGGAATAACCATTATATTATTGCATCAGTAAAAACGTATTATAGAAACGTTGACAGGTGATAATATGATAAAAAATAATTAATTTTCGTAATAAAATTTTATTCATTATTTTTTTTTTTTAATTTCGTATTAACTCGAATGTATTGTATATAAAAAAAATATATATGAAGCATTTCGCAACGTGTAACGATTCACTATGCAGTGGCCATAGGCGCCGTAGTATAAATTCGTGGATAGCTTAATGGCGGCGATTTGCATCGAGTGCCAATGGGCATCCAGTGCCAATAGCTAATGTGGCGTTAGCGTGCAAATCGGGGCCGACATAACGTAATTCAGTTTGCTCGGACTTGGCGCGCATCGCGTTTCTGAAATCGGCAAAACGTTGAATCTGCCAGTCTTTGCCACCTTCGCTCAGTTTGCACGTTTACCAGGATGTGGTCAGGCAGGATGGTAGCTATATCCGATAGCCATCACTGCGTCCGATTCCTTTTCAGAATTGAAAATTTCCTATGAATCGTAACGCGATGTACCGTCTTCGTACAATTATTTTTTACGCTTATATAAAAATTCGTCATGTATACGTATATATATTCCAGCTCTGTTTTCTAATGAATTTACAATCATCGACACATGCCCCGGACTCTAGTGGCTTTTACGGGCAGGCAGATGCGTTGAACTACGCAGATCGATTTTCTATAAATCTGCACTATCGAGAAATTCTGCCTGGAACGGCTTTGACATATTAAAGTCAGCCGTCACGGTAAAACAGTCACTTCCTGTCTGAATATTAAATGGGGATTCTGACATGTCATCGAAAAATATTTTTTCATTTTGATAATTTTGTAAATTGTAAAATTGAAATTTTTCATGCACTAATTATGTTATTAATTATTTTCAAAAAAATTGGAAATTAATAAGTGACCCTTTTTTGTCATTGTACCTACTTGTCATTAATCGTTCTTTCGTATCAATTCGTCCCAATATATATATATATATATTTGTGTATATAAATAATTGCCCACTCACGCCCATGTGTACCTACTGTTCGATATGTACGTTAACCACGGATTTCTATGTTTGCTAAGAGCATCGATGAATCGAGAACAAGCATGATTTGCGGTGAGGGATCGTTCGCGTTTCTCATGATTGTTGGTACATGGCAAGGGAAACTGGGATTTACCGGCTGGACGTAATGATTGAAGAACGCAGTAAAGCGCATTTCAGAATCGATTGAGTCAACGAACAAGCCATTTACGCGAAACGATTCAGCGCACGCATTAAGCCATGCGTGTACAATATGTTACGTCACAGGGGTTTAATCGTCAAGGCAGGTTGCCATTAACTTTTACTTATTTCTCGGTATTACCTGTACAGGTTAATTTCGAAACGTTCGAACGAATCGAGTGAGACGAAAAGAAAAATGTAGAAAATTAAAAAAAGAAGCAAGCAATCAAGTATTTATCGAAATTTTAATTTAACTTGAGAACTCGATTCGCGGAAAACTGTAAAGAATATGAAAAATCGTGAAAATTAATTTTAAACCAATTTCTTTACACATTAGTTATTCCTTCACAATGCAGTCATTTTGACTGCTTTGGGCAATATAGGTATATACTAAGTTTCGGTCTTTCTAGTGTTAAAGATGAAGCAAAATATTTTTTTTCAACTACTCTCGTGTAAATTTGATTAGGCTTTCTCAAAAAAAGAAAAAAAAAA